ATACACAACCCCCCCCACCGCCCTTCTGGGGGCAATACACAACCACCCTCACCTCTCTACAGGAGACACCACCACCTTCACCTCCCTACTGGGGGCAATACACAACCACCCTCACTTCCCTACAGGGCACAGTACACAACCACCCTCACCTCCCTACTGGGGGCAATACACAGACGGCATGGTGCACAACCACTCTCATCCCTCCAAGGGACAACACACAACCACTCTCACCCCTCCAGTGGACAACACACAACCACCCTCACCTCCCTACAGGGGACACCACCACCTTCACCTCCCTACAGGAGACACCACACAACCACCCTCACCTCCTTACAGGGGACAACACACAACCACCCTCACCTCTCTACAGGGGACAACACACAACCACCCTCACCTCCTTTACAGGGGACAACACACAACCACCCTCACCTCCTTACAAGGGACAACACACAACCACCCTCACCTCCTTACAGGGGACACCACACAACCACCCTCACCTCCCTACAGGGGACAGTATACAACCACCCTCACCTCCCTGCAGGGGACAACCACCCTCTACTCCCTTTCAGGAGACAATACACAACCACCCTCACCTCCCTACAGGGGACAGTACACAACCACCCTCACCTCCCTACTGGGGGCAATACACAACCACTCTCACCTCCCTACAGGGGGCAATACACAACTACCCCCACCACCCTACAGGAGACAACACACAACCCCCCTCACCACCCTACAGGAGACACTATACATCCACCCTTACTTCCCTACAGGGGACAATATACACCCACCCTTACTTCCCTACAGGGGACAATACACATCCACCCTCACTATAGGGGATGGCTCACAGCAACCCTAACCTCCTTACAGGGGACAATACACAATTACTCTTACCTGCTTGCAAGGGATGGCACACAACAACCCTCACCTACCTACAGGTGATAGCACATAACCACCCTCACCTCTCTACAGGGAAGGTCAATTAATATCCCCCACCCCTCTTCCTGCCACACAGACGGGATGGTGCACAACCACTCTCACCCCTCCAGTGGACAACACACAACCACTCTCACCCCTCCAGTGGACAACACACAACCACTCTCACCCCTCCAGTGGACAACACACAACCACTCTCACCCCTCCAGTGGACAGCACACAACTCTCCCCCCTCCAGTGGACAACACACAACCACTCTCACCTCCCTCCAGTGGACAACACACAACCACTCTCACCCCTCCAGTGGACAACACACAACCACTCTCACCCCTCCAGTGGACAACACACAACCACTCTCACCCCTCCAGTGGACAGCACACAACTCTCCCCCCTCCAGTGGACAACACACAACCACTCTCACCTCCCTCCAGTGGACAACACACAACCACTCTCACCCCTCCAGTGGACAACACACAACCACTCTCACCCCTCCAGTGGACAACACACAACCACTCTCACCCCTCCAGTGGACAACACACAACCACTCTCACCCCTCCAGTGGACAGCACACAACTCTCACCCCTCCAGTGGACAACACACAACCACTCTCACCTCCCTCCAGTGGACAACACACAACCACTCTCCCCCCTCCAGTGGACAACACACAACCACTCTCACCCCTCCAGTGGACAACACACAACCACTCTCACCCCTCCAGTGGACAACACACAACCACTCTCACCCCTCCAGTGGACAACACACAACCACTCTCACCCCTCCAGTGGACAACACACAACCACTCTCACCCCTCCAATGGACAACACACAACCCCCCTAACCCCCCCAGTGGACAACACACAACAACTCTCACCCCTCCAGTGGACAACACACAACCACCCTAACCCCTCCAGTGGACAACACACAACCACTCTCACCTCCCTCCAGTGGACAACACACAACCACTCTCACCTCCCTCCAGTGGACAACACACAACCACTCTCACCCCTCCAGTGGACAACACACAACCACTCTCACCCCTCCAGTGGACAACACACAACCACTCTCACCCCTCCAATGGACAACACACAACCACCCTAACCCCTCCAGTGGACAACACACAACCACTCTCACCTCCCTCCAGTGGGCAACACACAACCACCCTAACCCCTCCAGTGGACAACACACAACCACTCTCACCTCCCTCCAGTGGGCAACACACAACCACCCTAACCCCTCCAGTGGACAACACACAACCACTCTCACCTCCCTCCAGTGGGCAACACACAACCACCCTAACCCCTCCAGTTTGGGACTAAAGAAATCTGAAGTGAAGACAGTGACATCGATGCCTTGACTGAGGATGGGTCCCTGGACGGCAGCGAGGCTCATAGTTCTCCATCCACCACCGATGATGATGATGATGATTTAGAATACCGCAGTAAAAGGAAGTTGTATCTTTTCCATATTATGATTGTTTTGTTGTATCGTGCTTGAGGTATTTGTGTCACTCACTTTCTGCTTCCACATACAGGTGAAACTCGAATAATTAGAATATCGTGCAAAAGTAATTGCAGTAAGTGCTGCAAAAGGGGCCCAAACCAAGTACTGAGTACATATGCATGCTTGTACTTTTCAGAGGTCCGATATTGTTCTATGTACAATCCTTGTTTTATTGATTGCATGTAATAATCTACTTTTTTGAGGTTGTGGATTTGGGGTTCTTGGGGTTTTCATGAGCTGTGCGCCATAATCATCACAATGATGACAAATCACGGCTTGAATTATCTTGCTTTGCATGTAATGAGTCTATCTCATATATTAGTTTCACCTTTTAAGTTGCATTAGTGAAATAAATGGACTTTGCACGATATTCTAATTATTCGAGTTTCACCTGTACAGTACGATTACATAGACATCCCCAACTGAGTCTCACCGCCTGACCACAATCAACTGAATGACCCTGAAATTCCTGCAGTCCACTGAAGTCCTGTTCCTGGTGGTTCCCATCATGGAGCAAGCCTTCCAAAATGTGAAGATGGACCTGATAATGAAGACCTGGAGACTTACTCTACAACCAATGCTGACCACTAGGGTGGACTTCCACAGAATACACCTAGCTAGAGGAATGTGTGGACAAATGTCCGAACACCCAGATGCACCTCGGCCAGGGAGCGAGGACAACTACAACACAACCGAGCCTGGGCCGCGTGCTGCCGGGTCATGAGCCAATACCACAGCTGGCCAGATGCACCACACAAATATGATCAGGATGAATATATGATAGAAAGACTACTCAGAGATGTATTAGTAAGAATTTTCTGATTGGAACTCTGTATGGAGCAGAAAAAGTGGAGGGAGGAGTCATTCTCTGACTCATTCAGCTGTGTATGTAATCTGAACTGCAGCTCTGTCAATTGGTGCAGCAGCTATGATTAGCCTGGTGACCATTGATAAGGAATGCAGAGCTCTCCCGCTGACTTGAAGGAGGAACACAAGAAATATATCTAAAGTCACATGACCTAAAACAAACACCATCCACTCCAGCGAAACCCCTCCCCTTTATGTACAAGACTACAGGAGTCGGAGATGAGGGTATTTTATTGAAGTGACACACAAAGGAAGTACTCTAGCCACAACCTCCTCCCAGCATGCTTAGAGTCTCGACATCTCAGCACCGACAGCGTCCATATTACAGAAGTTACTACTGTGCATACGTCATTAGCGTTAAAGGATCAAACTTTATTAGCACATGTTCGCATCAGGCCACACCCACCATTGCAGGGGGGTCACATGACCAGGCAGCGGCCCTTCTGTTGCAGCGACTCCGTGACACTGCTGGCTCCTGTGTTCAGGTCCCTGTAGCTCAGCAGCTGCACGAAGGACGATTCCTGGCGATACGGCTCCTCATGGCGCACGATCGATCGCAGATCCTTGGGCAGGCGAATGTTACCTCCGGCCGCCCTCAACTGCTGCTGGTCACTGTTGTTCTAGGTTGGGAAAAGAGGTGAAAGAGGTCACATGATCATACATACAGCTCTGCCATAATCAGTAAGATCATTCCCTTCCTACCGCTTTTAGGTCAATGCCTGACACCCCCACCAACTATGCATGTCCCAGTATACAGCACAGCTCAGACATGAAAGCCCCTTGCAGTTATTTTATGCTGATAGGAGAAGCAGTGGGAACACGAGGAACCAACATTTATATCTGTCCCTATGTATCTGGCTCTTAGAGTAAGGTGACCAGATGTTTCAAATGAAATTCGGGGACATTTTGTTAGCTTCTGACAGGCTGCGCTATTAGCGTAATGGGAGCTATGCAAAATGCGCAGCAGGCCTCCCCGCTACGCTAACAGCGTATCTTCTCAGAAGCTGCATACAGCGTGCGCTGGTTTAAATAGTTACCGACACACGCTGTATGCAGCTTCTGACAGTGTGGGAGACGGGCACTGGTGTATTTTGGATCTGTGGTGGGCTCTGCGGGGTCTCAGAGGGGCTGTGAAGGATCTGTGGTGGGATCTGCAGGCTGCGGAGCCAACCACAGATCCTACACAGACCCACTGCGGAGCCCACCACAGATCCTGCAGAGTCCACCAAAGACCCCGTAGAGCCCACCACAGATTCTGCACAGTCACCCTGAGACCCTGCGGAGCCCACCACAGATCCTGCAAAGCTTAACTGAGACACAGCAGTGTCAGAAATGGGCATGTGCACAATCTGTGGTGGGCTCTGCAGGGTCTCAGGGGGGCTGTGCATGCTGCAGAGCCCACCATAGATCCTGCACACACCCCCTGATACCCTGCGGAGCCCACCGTAGACCCCACCACAGATTCTGCACAGCCCCCCTGAGACCCTGCAGAGCCCACCATAGATCCTGCAAAGCCCCCCTGAGACACTGCAATCTGCAGGGTCGAAAAGGACCTGTGCAGAATCTGTGACCACAGGTCCTGCAGAGCCCACCATAGACCCCACCACAGACCCCCTGAGACCCTGCGGAGCTCACTATAGACTCGACCACAGATTCTGCACAGACCCCCTGAGACCCTGCGGAGCCCACCATAAGACCCCGCAGAGCCCACTACAGATCCTGCAAAGCCCCAACACTGCTCTACAGAGCCCAGCATAGATTCTGCACAACCCACCCAAAAGTCTCAGGTGGGCTCTGCAGGATCTGTGGTGGGCTCTGCAGGGTCTCCGGGGGGCTGTGCAGAATCTATGCTGGGCTCCGCAGGGTCCCTATAACAGCAGTGTGATCCTCTTACCTTCCTTTTTTTTATTTTATGTTCCTGGGACCGTTATTTGTCCGGGGGCGGTCTTCTCAATCCGGGGATTGTCCCCAGAAATCGGAGACGAATGGTCACCCTATCTTAGAGGACACAGTACAACTGACTAGGGTAGCCATTTAGATCTCACCGTCATAGAAATGAGGGCAGCCAATCAGATCTCACCTTTCATCAGCATACAGTAGAGAGTACAATGGAAGATGGTTGCCAATTAGCTGTTCTGTGTGTTCGTGAGACTTACCATAGGCAGTTTGTATTTTTCCCGGAAGTGTTCCCGCATCAGTGCCCTCTCTGCTTTCTGCTGGGAGTGTAGCGAGCTCCTCCGCGTCCTGCACAAGAAACAAAATGGCCGTCAAGCCGTCACTTTACTAGGCAGCTCGCACTTCCTGTACAGGATCACCAGCCAGGAAGTCCTTCCGATTCTCACTCTTGAGGTGGTCCTGATACTAGCATACAGTATTACAAAAACATGTTGGAGGGTCTGTGTGCCCAGTCCCACCCGTCACTCACGTCTCAGGGCGCAGCAGTCTGTGGCGTTGGTCTTCGGAGCTCCACCTTCTTGTCACGTTGGCTCTGGGTGGCGTCGGTGAGTGGAGGTCCTTCGCAAAGGTCCCCGAGGTGCAGCATGATGCATTTTTCTTTGGGCCCCCAAACAAGAACTTGGCCATGGAGGCCATGCTTGATTATGGTGTCACAGACCAGAGGTCACCATAGCAGATTTACGGAACACGGACATCAGATCTAACAGAACACCAAAGACAATCACAAAGGCGAAAGGAGAACCTGTAGAGCAGAAGGTGAAGGGGGCAGTCATGGTCGGGAGAATATTAGGTTTAGGAGGGAGTCCAGGAGAGACGATACACCTGAGCTGACCACAAGGGAGGGAGATTGGGTGGAGTAAGTGGCCACAAGGGATAAAGGCTGGACACAGTGCAGGGAGGTGGCCACAAAGGATGGAAAGCTGGGTGCAGATAGATGGCCATGAAGGATGGAGTCTGGGTGCAGGTAGGTGACCACGAGGAATGGAGGCTGGACAACTTGGTTCAGAGAGGTAGCCACAATGGATGGAGGCTGGGCAGCTGGGTGAAATCAACAGAATTACTGAAAGTGTGAATGTCGTACATATCTGGTGTCACCGATGTAAGACCGATCAACCCGTCACACTCCAAACACAATCTACTGCTCACTGTACAAGAGCCCCCCAAATATATTTTCCGTCTTCTGACTCCCAGGAAAACGGGTCGTCTCTGATGGGGGGCCCTTATTGTGGTTACAAGTAAGGTGATCCCCCCGATGGCATCACACCTCACGTTACAGATGTCACCCACCATACAAGGCTCCGCCACCAGACGGCAATCCTCTACAAAGCAGTACCGGTATTCCCCTATACCGGACAACAATCCTCCACAATGTACTGCCAGCACCCCCCTATACCGGACACCAATCCTCCACAATGCAGTGCCAGCACCCCCCTATACCAGACAACAATCCTCCACAATGTACTGCCAGCACCCCCCTATACCGGACACCAATCCTCCACAATGCAGTGCCAGCACCCCCCTATACCAGACAACAATCCTCCACAATGTACTGCCAGCACCCCCCTATACCGGACACCAATCCTCCACAATGCAGTGCCAGCACCCCCCTATACCAGACAACAATCCTCCACAATGTACTGCCAGCACCCCCCTATACCGGACACCAATCCTCCACAATGCAGTGCCAGCACCCCCCTATACCAGACAACAATCCTCCACAATGTACTGCCAGCACCCCCCTATACCGGACACCAATCCTCCACAATGCAGTGCCAGCACCCCCCTATACCAGACAACAATCCTCCACAATGTACTGCCAGCACCCCCCTATACCGGACACCAATCCTCCACAATGCAGTGCCAGCACCCCCCTATACCAGACAACAATCCTCCACAATGTACTGCCAGCACCCCCCTATACCGGACACCAATCCTCCACAATGCAGTGCCAGCACCCCCCTATACCAGACAACAATCCTCCACAATGTACTGCCAGCACCCCCCTATACCGGACACCAATCCTCCACAATGCAGTGCCAGCACCCCCCTATACCAGACAACAATCCTCCACAATGTACTGCCAGCACCCCCCTATACCGGACACCAATCCTCCACAATGCAGTGCCAGCACCCCCCTATACCAGACAACAATCCTCCACAATGTACTGCCAGCACCCCCCTATACCGGACACCAATCCTCCACAATGCAGTGCCAGCACCCCCCTATACCAGACAACAATCCTCCACAATGTACTGCCAGCACCCCCCTATACCGGACACCAATCCTCCACAATGCAGTGCCAGCACCCCCCTATACCAGACAACAATCCTCCACAATGTACTGCCAGCACCCCCCTATACCGGACACCAATCCTCCACAATGCAGTGCCAGCACCCCCCTATACCAGACAACAATCCTCCACAATGTACTGCCAGCACCCCCCTATACCGGACACCAATCCTCCACAATGCAGTGCCAGCACCCCCCTATACCAGACAACAATCCTCCACAATGTACTGCCAGCACCCCCCTATACCGGACACCAATCCTCCACAATGCAGTGCCAGCACCCCCCTATACCAGACAACAATCCTCCACAATGTACTGCCAGCACCCCCCTATACCGGACACCAATCCTCCACAATGCAGTGCCAGCACCCCCCTATACCAGACAACAATCCTCCACAATGTACTGCCAGCACCCCCCTATACCGGACACCAATCCTCCACAATGCAGTGCCAGCACCCCCCTATACCAGACAACAATCCTCCACAATGTACTGCCAGCACCCCCCTATACCGGACACCAATCCTCCACAATGCAGTGCCAGCACCCCCCTATACCAGACAACAATCCTCCACAATGTACTGCCAGCACCCCCCTATACCGGACACCAATCCTCCACAATGCAGTGCCAGCACCCCCCTATACCAGACAACAATCCTCCACAATGTACTGCCAGCACCCCCCTATACCGGACACCAATCCTCCACAATGCAGTGCCAGCACCCCCCTATACCAGACAACAATCCTCCACAATGTACTGCCAGCACCCCCCTATACCGGACACCAATCCTCCACAATGCAGTGCCAGCACCCCCCTATACCAGACAACAATCCTCCACAATGTACTGCCAGCACCCCCCTATACCGGACACCAATCCTCCACAATGCAGTGCCAGCACCCCCCTATACCAGACAACAATCCTCCACAATGTACTGCCAGCACCCCCCTATACCGGACACCAATCCTCCACAATGCAGTGCCAGCACCCCCCTATACCAGACAACAATCCTCCACAATGTACTGCCAGCACCCCCCTATACCGGACACCAATCCTCCACAATGCAGTGCCAGCACCCCCCTATACCAGACAACAATCCTCCACAATGTACTGCCAGCACCCCCCTATACCGGACACCAATCCTCCACAATGCAGTGCCAGCACCCCCCTATACCAGACAACAATCCTCCACAATGTACTGCCAGCACCCCCCTATACCGGACAACAATCCTCCACAATGCAGTGCCAGTGGTGCAGTGCTGACACCCCCACTTACCTCGCACATAGACCAGGGGACCGCTCTGACAATACTCCGTGTCCCCGGGGTCACCTGTCCGGCTGCAATGATCAGATAAGTTTCATAATAATCCTCTAATTAGGATCAGGCCGCGTCACAATCCCGATTTATATGAAGCCGTGACCGGGATTAGCGGGCCACACAGCGGGCAATGTGACAACAGCCGGAAATAACACGCCGACCCCTCCCCCAATCTGGACAGGTATGTTATGAGGGTGAGGTACATGATAACAGGCGGAGCTTACAGAGGAACCAGTACCATTGGACCCATTGACCCAGTAAAAACAATACATAGCTAATGCAAGTCTCTACATCTGTGTTCATCATTTGTAATCTCTGGCACGGCAGGACAAGGATTGGTCACCACTCCACTCACTGAGGGTTGGCAGTCACTGGGAGCATGCTGATAGGAGGAGAGAGCGAGTGATGGCATCATCCAGTACGGTAGGAATATGTCATGAGGAAAAACAGGTGGTTGTCACAGGTAACCCCCTAAAAATGCCAGGGGCCTGGCTGCTCCAGTGACCTGCAACAAGTATTCAGTTCTGGATATCAAAGTCAGACATCCTGATCCCCAGACCTGTTGTGGGGTAGGGATGACAAGCGCCAAAGGATTAGCATGACAGCCAGTATTTTCAGCAATGGGCCTGCAATCGGGACAGATGGAATGTTGGCGGCCACAGAAGACGGAGCAGGATGGCGGCATCCTTCCACAGCACATGGTGATCCCACGATGACACCTTCCACTGTGACCAACCCGAGAACGGGTCTTCCTCCATATTGGAGGCCCCGGGAACACGACTTCCTCCATATTGGAGGCCCCGGGAACACGACTTCCTCCATATTGGAGGCCCGGGAACACGACTTCCTCCATATTGGAGGCCCGGGAACACGACTTGCTCCCTAATGGAGGCCTAGAAACTAGGGATGCACCGATAGATACTAGTATCCGTATTCAAAAGTACAAATGCCCAATACCGGCGCTTTATATCGAGTCGGCTGCCTGAGGACCTCAAGCAGCCTTGTGGCGGCTGTCTTAGGCAGTGCTGGTCTGGCTGCACATCTCCTCCTCTAGCGACTGCCCAGAGGACCCCACCTGGAGCGCCGCCCACCGGAGCAGCAGTAACGCGATGCTCCTCTTCAGCTCAGCGCCGACGACGCCCTCACGTGAGGAAAAGCGTTCGGCTCCGCGATGGAGGCAACATTAAGTAAAACGTGGCCTGGGCTTAGTGTTTCGTGGGAACAAGAATCTATTGCTGCAGCGTATTCTATATGTATTGTACATGTACTACATATAGAATACACTGCAGCAGTAGATTTACAATTCTGCACTGCTAATATGAAGGGGTTAAATGATCCGTAGTACAACTACATGTAACCCTACATGTTACATCATTTAACCCCTTCATATTAGCAGTGCGGAATTGTAAATCTACTGCTGCAGTGTATTCTATATGTAGTACATGTACCCAACACACTGCAGCAATAGATTTACAATAATCCCCTGCTAACATGAATGGGTTAAATAATCCATAGTACAACTACATGTTATGTACTATTATGTACTACAGATCATTTAACCCATTCATATTAGCAGGGGATAATTGTAACTATTACTGCAGTGTACTGGATGTATGTGCTGTATATGTACTGCGGATCATGAGTTAGCCCATTCATGTTAGCAGGGCAGAATTGTGAGCGCCTCCCACAAGCTGAGCACCGAGACACGATGCAGTGATCCTGCCCAGCGCCGACTACGGCACCGAGTGAGGCAACAGGGATCAGAGTGAAACTGAGTGAGGGAAGCTGGGACGGGGCTGGCTGTAAATCTATTGCTATATAGTGTACTGGACGTGTGTAATGTATATGTAGTACATATATGGAGAGCCCCCACAGCACCCGGTGCAGCCCTGGAGAGCCCCCACAGCACCCGGTGCAGCCCTGGAGAGCATCTGCTTCATATTATTCTGCATTGCTGTATAATTGATTGCTGAGATTTGTAGTCATCCATAGCCAGTGCCTCTCTATCATGTATTGCTGGGATACAGCTTAGAGTCAGGGGCAGAACTACCAGGGTTGCAGCTGTGACCTGGTGCTCCACCACTGTCCTAAGATCATGTGCATCAAGAAAGAAAAAAAAGTCACATAACACTGGCGCATCCCTACCAGCGACACCTCCAGATTTGTGGCCCAGGTATACGACTTCCCAGTAACAGAAGCCAAGGAACATGACTTCCTCCATAACGGAGGACCTGCAATGCTCACAGCATAGGTCCAGCACTCTGCTCTCACCATCATGTGAGGAGTAACAGAGCGATCATCAGACGGCACGGCTTTAGTACAAACATAAGGTGTTTATTTCTCACAAAGACTGTACAAAATTTTTATAAAAACACTGCGAGCTGCATTGCGTCACGCTGCCCCCCGACCCCCACCCCCTAACACTGACAATATAAATTATAGGAGAACAATGTACAGGTGCAGTGTAGGCCCCCCCACCACCAGGTGGAGCAGTGACAAGCAGAACTCTATGTACATGGCAGCCTCTGCTCTGCCTTTGCAGAATATATATATAGAATATTTATAGACTATTTCACATATAGACAGTTTCATCCGACTGATGAGCGAGTGTTCAGTTCATTGTATGATAAAGTATTGAAGCGCCAGAATCGGGGAGACCCTTCATCTGGCTGGTTTCCAGTGTAGTCATCGGCTGATTTCTCGCCCTGTGTCCCAGTGTTTCGGGATGTGCTCACTCTTCAGGGGGGAGAAAAACGGGTGTTTCAGAGCCTCGGCCAGGGAAAGACGTTTGGATGGGTCATATTCCAGCATGCCCTCTATGAGATGGAAGAGTTGCCGGTGATCTACCGAGTCGCTGACCATGTACTTCTGCAAGAGGAAGATCAGTGTCAGAGAAGCAACCCGACGGTTCACGAACACAGTCTGTACAACCCCCCCCTCAATCCAGAGTCACTCCCCTTCTGAGCGTGCTTTGCTGCTCCAGGCTGGGGGGGGGAGCACGTGACCTTGCCCTACGTTGCTCCAGGCTACGGGGGGGAGCACATGACCACGCCATACGCGGCTCCTGGCTACGGGGTACAATGGAAAGCAGAGTTCTCACGGAACCTACCCCAAACTCTGTCTATCAGTCCATGGGGCCCTTTGTGCCCACCACATGCCTGTCCTCCCTGGAAATGTCTGCAACTTCGGTTTCACGAGATATAATACAAATAAGACTGACAGCACGGAGTTGTTGGAAGTGATATTGGTCCTTACCCTCAGAGGTTTGCAGTTCTCCCGTACGTAGCGTCCAGCCGATGAGTTGTCATCCCAGTCAAGCCGACCATGGTAGAAATATTTCTGCTTCCTGAAGGTAATGCACCAGAGGTTAGTTGAGCACCCCCAGGGTCCATACAGTAGTTAGACACAACCCCATCAAGACCTTACCTGGTCTTCCGAACCATCTTAGAGGGGACAGGACCCAGAATCCTCTCCATCATAGCCAGGTGCTCCTTGTTGTCATGCGTCTGTAGAAAAGAGAACATGTCATGAGTACAGGTCACAGCAGGGACATGCGTCACACACACAGCAAACTAGTAGAAGTAGACACTGACCTGGAAGAGGGTGAAGCCCACATAATACTCAAAGATAATGCAACCAATGCTCCACACGTCACACGGCTGGCTCCATCCCAGTTCTGAGGAGATTGAAGGGCACTGGTGTAATACAAGGCTACAGGAAACAACAACAACTCATACACCGCATACAGTGGACAAGACACTCACCGAGGATGACCTCCGGCGCTCGGTAGTGGCGGGTGGACACTATAGTGCTGTGGTGTTCGCTGTCGAACGTGGCGCTGCCGAAATCCACAACTCTGATGTCTGTATTCTTCACACACCTCTCATCTCTCTTCTGGGGTAATGCGGTGTCACCAAGAGAACACACGGCACAAGCATTAGGAAACCTTCAAGGGACAAACTAAAAGCCGCTACGCAAGGTGACCGGGGAGGGAGAGAGAACTAAGGGTGGTGGTGTCTGGTGGGGAAGGTAGGAACTAGCAGAGTGCCTACTCCGAGCCAATTGGGTCATGGACAGGCATCCTGTGTCATCAGGGCTTTAATTTTTTAGGGTCACCAGTCCTATAGCCTTGCAATGTTAACATTTTTGGGGGGACACGCAGAGCTTTCTTTTGGTTGTATATAAGCACCACTGGAGGGGGGGTAGTTTATATAATGAAAAACAGTACCAAATTTTTTTCAATCGCTACGTTAAAAAAACAAAAAACATATTGTTACCCATTTTTGGTAAAATATAAAAGACGGGGTCACGTCAGGTAAATAGACAGCAAACCCGTCAAGCCTTAAATTGCGCAGATGCAAAATAGCGATCTGCAACGTGTGCAATCATCGTTTTCACACATAGGCACACCCGATTCATGTTTGTGAGTGTAAGTGGGGGACTTAAAAAAAAAAAAAAATTGTCTTTTTTACACTTTATTGCTATCACATGGAGGGCCAAGAAGCCCCCTATGTTATAGCCAATTTACATGACAGGTCCTCTTTATGGAGACATCAGGGGTCTCCAAGACCCCTAATGTCACCTAGGGACCCCCCAGAGAAGCTGATGAAGCAAAGATCGGCTTCACCAGCTGAATGCAGAAGTGGTGTAATATACATCACTTCCTGCATTCGGGGACATCGTATACCGATCTCCTGTCACAGAGCAGCCATGCCGGTCCCGGCCGCACTGGATCTCGGGACCAACAACGGCAGTGACAGCTGCTGCTACAAGTGATCGGGCGTCTCTAGAGATGCCCGATCGCTTGAATGTAAAGCTCCCGGACAATTATAAAGGCCGAGCGGGAAGCTGCTCATCCGGCTCAGCTGTCCTCTTGGTTTCTTTCAAGCCCTGGTCATCACCCAAAACAAACATTTCTTGGCACTTTTGGAACGTCACCACTATTCTAATAAGCCCGTAACGTGATCGTTGGAAAGTCCAGAGAAGTCAGCACCCACCTTTTCAACATTGTACGTCAGGTCGTAGTCAGAATCGACAAACAGGATGTTCTCTGGCTTCAGATCGGTATGAGTCAGCTTATTGTCATGAAGATCTGCAAGTCGCATGGGATAAAATTAGAACAGGAGACGTCACACGGCACTCGGGTAAGTCACATGATGCAACCGCCACTTACATTTCACTGCCTGGCACACCTGCTGGGCCATGTGCCGCACTTGGTGGATGGGGTACGGCAGGTAGTTGTTCTCCTTTAGGAAGTCGAAGGTGCTGAGACCCAAAAGCTCGAAAGAGATGCACATGTGTCCGTGATAGTCAAACCAGTCGAACATCCGTACACAGAGACTGCGGGAAGAAAAACACCTCATTAATACCGGCAATGCATGTGAAGGTAGCCGCTAGGTTACCCCGGCTGCCATGGGCCCCCCGCCCGGGTAGGAAAGGGAACCAATACTCACTTTTTATTGTCTGGGTCCTTCTCGATAATCTTCTCCAGCACGTTTATCTCTAATCGTGCTGCTTCTTTGTATTTCTCCACATTTTTTATGATTTTTAGAGCCACTCGGCTTCCACCCCTGCAGGTAAAACATACAAGAGGAAACCCATAAGTGGCATCCGACACACAAACATCCTACAATGCCAACCCCGAGGGGACAATGATGTGTGACAACAACGCAGAGCTGCCAATTACAGAACCCATCATTATCAGAGGGCTGCAAACTCCCTGAATATCACATCCCACTAACCGCCCGAGAATGCATCCAAATAACCGTCTTCCTCAAAGCAATCAGAATGTAATCAGATTCAAGTGAACCCATCACCAAAATCTCATATGATCTTTAATGTTTATGTCACTTCAATCTTTTTAAATCTGCAGCTTTAATTAAAATAATCCCTCAATATTCAGCCACAAATGTTCTTGGCTTAGGCACTTCCTGTTATGGGGTGACAACACTTTGTCCTCATCTCCTAGTTCTGTATCCGATGCCTTTGTGACAGGATGACTACACAGGAGACTGTTTATGGAGGCACGGTCCACTGTGGTCACCATCAGCCCCGATCTAGTCATCCACACTCTCTCTCTACATACACACGGGGGCCCATATAAGCATCTGTGCTTCCGCTATATATACACACACACACAGGGCCCGATCTAGGCATCTGCTCTCTACATAGAAACGGGGTCCATATAAGCATATTTGTCGCGACACACGGGGCCCGGTATAGTAATGTTCTCTCTATACACACAGGGCCCGGTATAGTCATCCGCTCTCTCTACACACACATGGTGCCACATATAGTCATCTGCTCTCTCAACACACAGGGCCCGGTATATGTGCTCTCTATATAAATAGAGCAGCCAGATATAGTCACCTGCTCTCTTTATATACATGGGGCCCAGTATAGGCTCTCGCTACACACAGGGCCCAGCATAGGTGCTCTCTATACACACACAGGGCCCGGTATAGTCATCTGCTCTCTCTATACACAGAGGGCCCGGTATAGTCATCTGCTCTCTCTATACACAGAGGGCCCGGTATAGTCATCTGCTCTCTCTATACACACAGGGCCCGGTATAGTCATCTGCTCTCTATACACATGGGGCCCGGTATAGGTCCTCTATACACACAGGGCCCATTATAGTCATCTGCTCTCTAAATACAGGGCCAGATAAAAGGCATCTGCACTTTCTATATACAAAGGTCCCATACAGGCATCTGCCCTATACTGCAGAGCCATTAGCGAATCCCTACCACCACAAGTCCAGACAACTCACCTTCTGTGGTCTATACACTGCACAACCCGGCCAAAGGTACCCTCGCCCAGTGTGCTGACAATCTCATCTGTGAGAAGAAGCAGAGAGAAAGACGGTAAGGAGGGAGGCCGGGAACTGCCGGAATCAGTGAAATCTGTCAGGCTGGGCATGAGCCACAAATCAATTACTCTAACAACTTCCTGCCCTCCGACTAGCAATATAAGATCGCTATTTACAAAAGTATGATAAATATAATAAAAGGAGGAAGAGGAGGAGGAGGAAGGGGGCTTCTCTGCATTAATCAAAATGAACACAAAATAAAAGACAGACAGGTGTGCAGCGTCTCTGGGGGGTAGGGGGGATCTTAGAACTAGAGAGCTAAATTATGTTACGATTTGGCTGTACATCTTTCTTGTAGCCAGTCGCCGTTGCGATAGATCAGGTGACCCTCCACGTCGTCTTCAACACTCTTGGCCTGCCTGCTGCTGCTCTGGCGACTCCTCTGTCGGGTAGGGGGCCCGTCATTTCCGGCAAAACACCACCATTCACCAGCCAATCAGATTTTCAAACCAGCGGCACAAAGGTTGGTTGGTTTGGAAATTCATTCACAGTGTAGTTTTGAGGTAGGAGGAGGGTGTGCAGTAGATTCCCAGCCAATTCATACGGCACATAGGAATATATAACGATAGGGATATTGCAAGGGAACAAGTCAAGATACAAATACACTAACTCAGAAAATCAAAATAAAAAAAAATAAATAAAAAGAAAATAAAAAAAAAACAAAAAAACAATTTCTGCTTATGTTTTCTTTTCATCTTTGCAAAAGCAGGAAAAACAGGAGCAAAAAATAAAAGATGCTGAAGCTGCCTTCCTGGTTGTGACAAAGCCCAGATTACCCCAAAATCAACCCCGATAATAACCCCAAATACCCCACGGGGACATATACAATGCCCTCACTGCATACACTATTCTAGGGGCTCTACTATGTTGGGGGGCAGGGACCAAACAAATATATACCTCCAGCATATATGTACTAAGGGTGCTGTATACTCTTCAGGGAGGTCTGCCATGTTTACAATGGGGTAATGGAACCAGCCAAATATTTTGGCACCCCCTAGATTCTGCTGTATAACAAGGAGGCCAATGGGAGTCAGACAACTCCGCGGTACTCTATAGTGTAACATATATATGGCCAGGCAACAATAAAGGAGCGATAGATGACTACAGGCCTATAGATACTACAGGGATGGGGGGCATACAGGAGTATCTAGCGTGTGATCCACATCCTCCGCAGTAGAAAGCAGAAGGACGTCTAATCCTTTCACCTCTCTAATCCCAGCAATACAAACAGAAGCAATTATGGGGGTGCACTTACCAAGACTTGCCCTAAGAGAAGAAAAAAAAAAAGGGGGAGCAGAAAGATCTCAGCTCCGTGAGATACTCACCGATGACGAGCGACTATAAGACCTTGTTCTATGCTTCCTGCGTTTTTGTTTGCGTCGGCTGCTCTTGCCGCTCCTGTAGCTGTCCTCGTGGGAGCGCCGGTAGTCGTACGAGTGGCGGTACTCGGCGTCATAGTACAGGGCTCTGTCCCGGCTGTAATCGTTCCTCCGGTAAGCGTCGACATATCTTCGGTCGTAAGCTCGTCTGTCTGACGATCGTGCGTCATAACTGAGAAAGGATTGCGAGAATGGCAAAGTTTAGTAAGGATTGACACAATAACCAAAATTCCAGTACAACAGACACCAATCACCACCCACGTGGTCCTGGAACCAATCAACAATTACTAAAACTCTACTGCCGATTCTCGAGTGTCACTACAAGGCTCATCCTCAAACAGGAAAGAGCCAGGGGAGAGGAACGCAGCCCATCTAGAGAGAAGGCTCTGCAAAAGGTAAAAACACAAGAAGCTAACATGGCAATCCCCAAACCCAGTGTCACCTACCTCCGCGACCTTTCCTGATAACTGTCGCCATGCCTGTGACGACGTTCACGGCCTCGAACACTGCTGCTGCTTCGCGACCTGCTTCTTCTCCTCCTGTGCTTCCGGCTTCTGTAGCGCTCGTGGTAGCTTCCTCTGCTCCGCCTCTCAGATGACCGGTACCGTCTGGAGTGCGGCATCTGGAAGGAGGCAAACGAGTCAGTATATAGCCTGAAGAGGGTGCTCCCAACAGAGCACAGCTTACCCCATCATATGACATGAATACCCCTATATTCCAAACACAGACTGATGAGGGCACTCCTCCACAGAGTGCTCCTGTCCATTCATAAACTGGAAGAGATAGTAACTGATACTATGTCCACAATCATGAATGAATAGGAAGTGATGTAAAGCACTTAGTGTTAATTCATACCTGGGGAAACAGTAAACTTACTATGTCCTCAGTTATATACAAACACTCAGGTATCAGTTCTGATCAATGAGCATTTGTACTCCGCTCACCATCCTGACTGGAGAGCTCGGCCTCCTGCGACAGCTGTCTCCTCCCCGCTGGGCACCGGTTTGTCCCCCCTTGGATCCTCGCTGCCTGTACCGACAAACTGGGAGAGCTGTGGGCATCGGAATGGACAGACCAGCGACCCAACAGGGAGGAGGAAAGTTAGAGATGTACTGAATTTTCTACCACATTTTCGGCCATTATGGTACTTTCGACATTTTGCCCAAAGTACCATTTTTGCCCAAAATGTTGTTTTGGTAGCCGAAGTTTTGGTGCATCCCTAATACCTCTATGTTGCCAGCCCAGCCTGAGGAGGGCGCTCTTACCAAAGCACAGCTTACCCCATCATATGACATTAATATCTCTATTCCCAACAGCCTGAAGTGGGCGCTCCTACCCTGACCACAGCTTGCCCCAGGTGGCAATAATCCCTCTATATGCCCAAATCCTTACTATGGTAAAACTCTTCGACACAAATGTCTGTCCGTCCAAACGCCTTATAAAAAGTATTGAAGTCTGTATTACAGACCCTCCCTCAGTGCCACCCTACTGCTGTATACAGGGAACTCTCATCCCGGCAAGACATCCAATCTAGGCATAAAGGAGACCGGCTACAGACATCACTAAGACCTAATTCCCATCAGACCCGGACCAGATCTGGATGCAGTTCTGCATATGTAGTGTGTTTTTTTTTAGCTTACAATGGGTTTTCAGGTGAGGTCCAGTGCATTTGCATGTTATTTGTGCGTTTACATGCGGTTTAGAGCAGAAAATATAGGGCATGCAGCAATTTCTCCACATGCACTGGAACTGAATGCTGTGGTGTGAACTAAACCCCAAAAATACCATTGGAACACATGGGATGCATCTTTGATGCATTCTTAAACTGCTCTGCTCCGCACCTTGTGTGAACTAGCCCAAAACAACAATGCAGCACGTCATACCGAGGAAACTGTGTACATAGATCAAGCTTTCCTGAGTGTAACAGGCTTTTACTTAGGTATACAAAGTTCTGTTCCTACCACAAACTCCATAAACTTCAGCACATACAGCAAACACCTTGAAAGGGCTGTACGGTGATAATCCAGGAGATAGAGAATACCAGATCCCCATTATATAGGATTAAAGGGGTGTGCACTCAGAGGTAATGTGAGAGGAAACATCCTTTTAGATTGTAAGCTCTCAGGGGCAGGGCCCTCCTTCCCATCTTGAATTGTATTGTGATGTCTTCTTTATATTGTAAAGCGCTGCGCAAACTGTTGGCGCTATATACATCCTGTATAATAATAATATGCATATGGAGGTAATAGATGTAAGGTGGCATACACATACTGGATCCCAATTATTATATGGAGGAAACGTGAGGCGTTCACATACAAGAAGTGGCTTTCCATGTACAGTATCCCAATGGTTATATACAAGTAATAGGTAGAGATCTACAAATACACAGGATATCAGAGTGCACTGACATTAAAAAACAGAGGGGGCGGCTAATTTCAGCTCCGCACACTGGGAGAGAATGCTGCATTCCCATAGAGGAGAGATGATGGAATGTGCCCGGTTAAGGGTGGAGTAATTGGCAAACGATGGGCAGAAGCATCATTATCTCTGTGACCTGCATTGTGTTCTATTATAAGAGCTCCACACAGTGTTCTTCTCAGACCATGAAGAGTTACAGAGTAGGAGGGGCCCCCCTACACAGACCTACAATTTCCTCCAATCACAGAGGGCTAAGGAGGCATCCAACCACCCTACAGGAAGAGGGGCCTTCCACAAGGAGAACCCATATCACCCTACAGGACGAGGCCCCTTCCACAAGGAGAACCCATATCACCCTACAGGACGAGGCCCCTTCCACAAGGAGAACCCATATCACCCTACAGGACGAGGCCCCTTCCACAAGGAGAACCCATATCACCCTACAGGACGAGGCCCCTTCCACAAGGAGAACCCATATCACCCTACAGGACGAGGCCCCTTCCATACGGAGAACCCATATCACCCTACAGGACGAGGCCCCTTCCATACGGAGAGCCCAGATCACCCTACAGGACGAGGCCCCTTCCATACGGAGAACCCAGATCACCCTACAGGACGAGGCCCCTTCCATACGGAGAACCCAGATCACCCTACAGGAAGAGGAGACTGCCACACGGAGAAGGAACAGGATCTGAACACGGTCATAGCTATACAATGGAGGTTTGTTTACTAAGGCCCCGTTCACATATAGCGATTTCCGCGCGATATCGCGAGAAGTCGCCGGCCAATGTTATTCAATGGAGCTGTCTTAACTCCATGTCGCTCGTCGCGGTCGCAAGTCGCTTCTACCGGACCCTTTTTTCGGCGGATTTTGCGCGATTTTACTTTTTTTCTATGGAGCCCGACGGGGAAGGTCGCGCTACCGTCGCTGGAACGTCGCCCCGAAAGTCGCGCTATCCCGGCCGTGCGGATCCGCTGCAAAAGGTATGTCGCTATATGTGAACGGGGCCTAAGGGAGTAGAGAGCTCAGTCTGTACAGTGAACAAGGTAAAGCTCATTTTACCGTCAATTACATGCTGGCAAAAATCCAGCTTCCTTCCCCTCAAATGGTTGGACATTCAAAGCAAGCACCATGACTCACCTCCTTATTTACTAACACTCACTAAGCTCAATGTCCCCTGATCAGGGGCTGTTCTAAAACGACCGTACGCACAGAGGCGGCCCAGACGCACAGATCACAGACAAGAGGTCTATAGGATCAGCCCTATACCAACCCCTAACATACAGATTATATATTGTAAGGAGTCATGTATGAGCAGTGCTCTGGTGGGTTGCAATATATTGGTGCAGGGGGTACAATACAATGACATCAGTGCAGGGAGAAGGGTACAATGAGGTCTGATAGTCAGACAGGGGAGCATACAGAACGATAACAGTTATGGCGATGAGACGCAATTAAATATCAGTGCAGGAGTGTCATGGCGGATACACAACGGTATTAGTGCAGAAAGGCAGGACACATACAGAACGTTATCGGTAGAGTTGCTGAACACGTACAGGACGTATTCGTTAGTTGCAAGACACATACTGAACGGTATCAGCACAACGTTGCAGGAGTGATACAGAACGGTATCGCGACAGAGAGGCGGCCATTTTGTGATTCAGCTGTCCT